TAATTAGTATATATTATTGTATAGAAGATTTATACTGGTTCATTAACCGTTAACCAATTAGTCGTGATTCACAAACTTTTCCACTTCTATTTCCTATTCGGTTATGAAAACTAAGAGTGTAATAACATATTTTTCAATATAATGCTTGTACTAAATAATATGCTATAATTGTTATGGAAAATAACTAAAAAGGAAATTCAACCTAATACAATAAAAACTCTACTATAATTGCTATAATAGTGCGACGAGGCCATACTCGACAGGTCGAGTGATTGTGCTGCTAGATTTTAGTTTAGAGCCCTCCGATTTGAATCTTAGGTACGATGCTTGTTTTACTTTTCTTCCCTCCTCTAGTAGAATTCCTGTGGAACAAGTTATTGTAAAAGAAAAATGCTATATTACTACTATTAAGCAAATAAATAGTAAATGCCGATATCTAAGACAGAAAAAAATAAAGCAAAACAAATGGTATCAAAGCAAGTGGTTCAAAGTTCAGATAAGAGAAATGCCACTTGGCTAAAACGGACACATAGAAAAGAGCACTCCGAATGGCTGTTATAGCCGTAACCGCGGGTATTCGATCCTACCCAACCCGGTCAATGAGGAAAATACTCGTATTGATTGGGTATGGGGCGGATACAGGTAATATCTGCAAAGAAGTTTGTGGGTATGGGGCAGGATGAATTTGAGTGCCTCCGCCCCATACCCATATCCATATCCGCCCATCATTTCTTATGTCATATATTATAAAATATAACTACTGTAACGTAGGAGTTGTAGGTGACAATTTTTATGTTCTTTCATGATCAATATACTTTTTTTTAGAATAATTAATAGACTTTGTTTCTCTACGAAAGAAGAACTTTGGAGGATAATTTGACTTTTATGTGTGGATTTTTATTGTTCAGGAGGTGGTTTGGAGATGAATAATTGGGTGTTGGATTATTTATAGGTATTTTGTTTATGGAACTTCGTAGGATTTGGATGATATAATTAAGATCACCTGTGGTTCTTTATTAGGTTCATCATTTATTAGGTTTGATGTTTCAACCCAATAGTTATAAGCTTTATTGAATTCAAGTGTGTTAATTTAGTTATAATCATAATCAGATGTACAGAGCGGGGATTACCCTCGGGTATCCAAAGCCCGTGGGGATGGGGATGCAAAATCTCCCCGCATGGGGATGGGGAGGGTATGGATTTGATAATTGAAAATGGGTGTGGGGATGGGTTTAGTACAATCCGTCCCAAACCCGACCCTTTGATATCCCTACCCCCCCCCCTCCCTCTCTCGTGACTAATTGACTATCATACATGTTATTATATACGATATTCCCAAGCCAACGTGCTAGGCCCAACGCTGATATCATATAAGATTCATAATTGGTTAAATATTATTGATGTGACTCATCCAAGGATTGAAAAATCATATCGGAGGTTGTACCGAAAAAGTCAGCAATAGAGTATTTTATGTTGAAATCGTGATTGTACCGTTTCATAAAGTTAATACCGCCTACCGACTTTGATATGATCCCAAATTGGCGATCAATCACGTTGGAATTGATTGACCAAGAAGGTAAGCAAAGTACATTAAAGAACACTGAATTTTGGCCAAGTTCTTTTATAGTTTCAGGTAGCCAACTTTGCACGTCGGGAACTTGTTATTGGCTTAATGAAAATTCGAGTTTAAGGCCTTGTTTTGAAGATGAAGAGTTTATCTTTCCATTTATGTGCTTTGGAGCTCGAGAGGAAGCCCAGAAGAGTGATTTACAGGTCGATCAAGTTGCTAGCTCAACATGGGAAAAACTGTCGAAATATTCTAAGTGTTGGAACGAGTTCGAAAGGAACTTTGGAAGCCTCAATCGAAGGGATGGCATGAGAGTCGATCTTCAAGAATCATATCTCATGAAAGTAGGTTTATTCTATTACAACGACATGGCGGTGGATGACTGGAATGAAGAATGGAAGGCCTCGAACGAAAGCTCCAAAGGTCGTATCGTAGCTGAGTTTCTGTCTTTGGAAACAGGCAATCCGAATCCTTATCGGATTAGGATTTCTTTGTTGTTTTGTGTTTAATTCCTTTTCATTGTTGGTTTTGATTTCCTTTTCCAATTGTAATATGTTAAGGAGTTCTCTAACAGTAGTAGGATTGGCTAGGTCTATTTAAGTAGCTTTGATTCATTGTAATTTTCAGATTTCATAGAGTTGAATAACAAACCGAGAGTTTGCGTTCATAAGGTTTTGTCTTGTGAATTGAGATATCAACCTAGCCGAATCTAGGTTTAATCTTGAGCTTGTATCGTTCATGTACTCACATTGTTCGTGGCCAAGCATCGATGACACCAATCGAGCCTCTTTCCCATCGTGAAAGTTGCAAGAAAGGTTTCATCCCAAACACGAGCACAAGACCCTATTTTGTGTTCTTTTTCACCAAGTTTTGATTCAATCTTGAATTGAATCCTAGATGTGCTTCTCTGGTCCAAACCCACCCACCTAGGGGGTTATCAAACTTCACTTCCGGTAAGAGGTTTTGGTCGAACTACCGTATGGCGTGGATCTTCAATCCTTTCACTCGTCGTGAGGAAAGATAAAAATAGAACATGATAAGAGGAAGGAGGTAATTAAGATATGGTGTGACGTGCTTATCTTATTGCAAACCTGCCTTGTATACTACTCCCCGTGAGATTTTCTAGGATTTTTCATTTTTTATATAATGGCTTACTAGTTTTACAAGGCTATAAATATGACAAATAATTTTTACACCTGATCTCGTCTTGTAAAAAGACGTAATTATTGACCGCTTCATTCGCCGTTTAATCATACACTTCCCTTTCCCGTCATTTTATAACCAACAATAACATACAATTTCGCCTTGCCATTTGTGTGCATTTTTTTAGATCTAACAAATCTTCTTATTTATGACTCCACGTCTCCACTATACAATTCTGAACACGAGGATGCATGCTTGAATCAAAACCACCAAGGTTTATAATAATTGAAAAAGAAAAGAAAGGTTCTGAGAATAAAATTGATATAATATGGTTACGGGAGAGGATCAGCATCCATGGGCTGATATATGTCCAAATCTCTTGAATTCCATTTATAGGAGACTCCCGTCCCACATCGACGGTACTCAATTCGGTTGTGTATGCAAGAAATGGCACCAAATCCACTCCGAGGTCGTGCTTTCCAATCCCTTGCATGTGGACATCAACCGTACAAAATTCTCAGACTTCGATGTCATCGAAGTGAGGGAAGATGACAAGCTTTTCGTCCAACCACGTCGTGAAACTCAAATCCCGGAGAGGCTTGTAGGTGTCAACGTACAAATCCTTGGGAGGGCAGGCGCGTGGCTGCTTCTAAAAGAGCGCAACATTTTCTTGGGTTGTTACAATCCTCTGCTTCGAAGTCCGGCAAACTATATCGCTCTTCCTGAACCGAGTTTGCATTTTTCTCACTATCGACGCAACTGGACGCCAGTCATAGTCAAGGTCGCATTCTCCGCGCTACCCACAGCTCGTGACTCCATGATCCTCATGGTATATGGCGATCGTTATTTCAGTGTGCTCCGTTGTGGTGATGACTGGATGTGGAAGACATACAATTTGTCTTTGGCTAGGAAAAAGGGACAAACTTGCCTCGGTGTAGGCTACGGAAAGGGCAGATTCTTTTGCTTATTTGAAATGGGAGATATGGTGATTTTCAGCACTGACAAGAATGAGACGAGAATGCTGCTAGCGGCCACCAAACCTTTGCTTCTTAAGCGACTCGAGCAATGGGACAGTTTGTGTGTTGTGGCAATGGTGACAAAAAAAGCCACGTCTGGAAGTGCTCAAAATCATGAGATAGGAAAGATTATGAAGTTTACGATAATCACTCATTGGGAGCGAGATCATGAGGCGCGTGACAAGAACAACTTCAGATTGGTGGCAGTGGTGGAAAAAATTACCACGACGGCAGATCTATTACTGGATAATGATGATGATGATTGTGAGATAGTGTCAACGCTGGAGGATGGGGAAAACAACAAGGGATTTATTGTAGTGAAAGACAGGTTGCCATTGAAGAGGAGTTTCCACAGCTTTTATATTGTCGCACTATCTTTTCTTCCTCCTCTGGTTCTCCTTCTTGGTGTTTCTTGGATATTTAGCCTTTTGATTCGCAAGTTGAAGTGTTCCTAAACTCAATGTAATGAAGGGGCAGGGCTTGTGATTTTTTGGTTGAATAAAATTGAGCTGACGATGCAAAGCATTATTAGTTTTTATATTGTTGTACTTGTAGCACACCTTATAAAAATGATTTGCAGTCTTAAAAATTGAAATCGATTCTTCAAAGTGATTTGTAGTCCCTCATGTGATCTCAATAAATATTTACGAAACCATGTTTTGGTATATGACAATCTTTTAAATAACCACTACAAGAAAATAGGGGGTATAGAGACAATGCAAATATATCTCTACAAGACATTTATTTGTCTCTATATTCCTACAGATACACATAACACATTTGTCTTAAGTAGTGTTGTTGTTGTAGCTGTATAGAAACAAATATGGAGACAGATCTCATTTGTTGCCGAATTGAAATATAGTCACTAATATTTTAGTATCTAATATCTCTTTCTAATGACTATTGTTTTGCATTTATATCTAATTTTACCAACACAAATATCCGTCTCTAAATAATTTTGCCTATAATATCAGTTTGAGGGACAAATCATTATTCTTAGAGACAAATAATTTTGCCTCAAATATTATTTGTAGAGGCAAAAAATCATGTTTGTGAGGAGATCTTTTGTCATCTTTATATGAAAAAATTATTCAAATCCAATTTTAATGAGACAATAGAATGCACAAACCACTGCATAAAAAACAATGCAAATACATGTACAATCAGTTTACATTTACAAAATGGGTTTAGATTTAAATTACTGCAGAAATACAAATAAAGCCTCTCCCAATATATCCAGATATTAGCTTTCCCTTCCGTTACAAATAAAACACCTTAATCAAATACAAGAAACCATCTAAAGCTCGTCCCCGCATCAGACTATATAATGAACTCGTTTCTCTCCGCTTGAACAATCCTCTCCTGTTATTCCTTGTTTGATTCCCTACACATCTAGTCTACAATACAGACAGCCATACATTAAACTTCATTGTAACCAATTCAAGTCAACAAAAAGAAAGGATGAAAAAACAAAACGATGACCTCGGGCATGTCGATCTAGCCAAATCACCTTTTCCATCGGGGTTATCATACCCGGCGGATAGACGTTGTCGTCTCAATGGCCACATACCTTGACATATCGACGGCTGGGAAGTGGAAATCCCTCAAGTAAAGTAATCACCGTTCCTCCTGTCAGCGAGCCAGCGAAGACGAAGAGTGAAGAGAGGGAAGACAAGTGAAAGAGTACTGGAATGCAAATAACTAAATGTGAGAGATATATTAGTAAGAACAAACTCTAACCACAATGCGATGCGGCGTAGAGAAATTGGTGTGGCGGTGGAGTGGAGTGGAGGCGTGAAGCAATAAATGGGACAATAAAATTAGCCTACCTTATATTGCTAAGTCTTATCTGTGCTTTGTAATGTAAATTATAAGGATTGTCAAATCCTATCGGAAGTTATATCTAAAATTTCGATGGTACGATATTTCATATCAAAATCGTGGTTCGACCATAGTTCAACATTTTACTACCTTTAGTTATGGTATCAAGAACCGAGTGCTTTACAATATTTCGTATTAAAATCGTGATTCAACCATATTTCTAGCATTTTCCTACCTCTGATCATGGCATCTAGAATCTAGAACCCAGTGCTCTAGGTTATGCGGCATCTTCATCAAGAAATCGTTGTGAATTCCTAAAACTAATGGCTGATAGTAATTGATAGTGCAGTGGACTAGGCCAGGTCACCAGTACCGAGTGCTTCAGGTTGAGCATAAAATATTCCGAGCTTTCTAAAGGAACAAAAACAATGGAGGATTATGGTTGGGGGACTGAATGTATAGTTCCATACCGTTGGCCATTCTCCATATCATAATGTAGTATCAGTATCACTACAAAATTTTGTTCATAAACACAACTAATTACTTTATTAATCTAAGATATCCTAATTTCCTAACCAAGTCATGCTAAATCTTGACTCATGAGAACCAACACATGAACTTTCCACCTGATCTCCTCTTGTTGACCTAGTAAAGGCATGAGCTTTGCTGAGCTTCTAGGATAGGCCAACACTGGCTCGTTGCTTGATGAAGCTTTCATGTCGGCAATCTCTTCCAGGTGGCTTCCCGTCTCGACTTGATCTCACCTTCCTGAGATTCGTGCTCCTGGAAATTGAACAAGCATGCATCGAATAGCTCCAGATCATTGTCGGAGATATCTTCCAAACGTTCAGTGTCAGGCTTTGCGCAGCCTGGATCCAATGGCGCCTGGCGTTCCTCTCCGAGGGAAGTTGATGGGTAATTTTATCTGTCGGTCCAGCTTGATTGGATTCTAGACGTGATTGTCGTTCCATAACAACAAAGTCCTCTCTGCCACCTGCAAATCAAGGATAGTTTTCTAAGAGAGATACTGCTGAATTCGAGGGTTACAAAGGAGTTCAGAAACCTGTAAAACTGCAGCTAAAGTGGAAGGCTAGTGTTCAAGCCTTAAAGAAACGTATGATATAATTATATAAACTTTCTCCAGAATTCTAATTCTCACAGTTGAGAGCATAATAGCTCTAACACCTGCCCCAGCTGGTAATAATAAGCCACCAGCCCACCACACACCAGTATGTTCACAAACTGAGATCTTGGGCGGGTTAGAACAAATTTGGTCATTGAATTCACCAATATGTATTACATCGGGCACTAAACTCGGGATTGAGCCAACCAAAGCACCAAACTCACCCTGATCAGTCCCCATGAACATTTCTGTTTCCCATCTTACCTACAACATAACTGCAAAAAAAACTGACAAAAAAATGAAAATGCGGATTGATCAGGACAAAGTTGGGTGCTTTAGTAGTCTCAACCCCGACTTTTGCGACCCAATGTGATACATGTAACCAAATTCGTATTTGCGCCATCTTGAGCAGTTGATGATCCACGAAAGGAAGTGAAACGAAGAAACCAACTTTGTCCATTTCAAGTGTTATTACTATAAAACGATAAAATTCAGTTCAACTATCAAGGGGCTACCTACTAAGATACCTGAAAATGAGAACTGATCAGGCACCAATAAATCTGGGCATACAAGGAACCATGTGCAACGTTGAAATCTTGCAGGCTGTATAGCTTCCAGAACTTCCTCCAGCTCACTAAAGAATATCACCTCTTCAAAACTGTTCGACACTGGCCAATACTTCAGCAAACCCCTGATCACAAAGTATTAGAAAGTTAGCAGTCTTTCTCCGTGAACTGAGTTATGCAGTACGAGAATTGCTGGTGATACATCATCAAGCACTTCAATATATGCAACAGAACAAGAGTTTGAACTAGAAATAACTTGTGCTCTTCCTTCAGTAGCAGCGCAAAGCCATTGATGATACACCCCAAAATCACCAGCAGCACAGTAATCCCATCATGTATCTCGGTCTTAAATATGAACCGGTAAAAGATATTGTTGATCGTCTTCCTAATGAAGGACCCGACACCTTCAATTTGCCATAGATTCGATGCAGGACCCTTTGCACATAAGAAAAATACTCCCTCTCCCAGTTCCTATGAATCAAAGAGATCGAGTAGCCTTAGTATAAAAAAGTTATTTAGTGTTTAGCTAGTTTTGCATAGGTTTCAGGTGATGCCACAAACCTCAATAACAGTCATACACAACTTGCAAGTGGGTTCACGCGGGGTCCATCGATGGCTCTTCCTGTTCAACATTGAATGCTTCCAATGCTTTGTTCTCATGAGGTGAAGAAGTAGCGGTCTAAACAGATTTGGAGAGACCATTCGGACAAGTTATTGCATGACTCGGGAAACTTTGCATTGGCAGAGGAAATATAGTCCACAAGCTCTGCCATGTATGCCTCTTGATGTCATTTTCCTTGAGGTTCTAAGGGGGATCAGTGAAATAAAAAATGAACGAACATAAGATCACCTTTCTGATGTTCAAATTCTACTCCTCTGAATTTGGAACTTCCTGGAAGCTTGGCAAGGCCCCTCGCATGAAGGTTGATTACCATGATCTGGAAGGAAACAAGAGGATCAGACGGAAACAAATCTGGGTACGATCTGAAGAGCCAAAAGCGGCCTGCAATCAATAGAACAAAAGCCAAAAAACAAAAAATGCATTAATTACTCATCAACCCAATATCACAAACGATGGAAAAAAGTATCAGATTGTGAAAGCCCAAATAAAAAGGGGGAAAAGGCATAAAGAGGCGGCAAACAATCTCTCTTTAATTGCTTGGCAGAGTGAATAATCAAAGAGAGATTGTGAGATTACTTGGAATAAAGACCGATAAGATCTCAAAGGCGAGTCAAATAAACCTAAAGACCATTGTTTCTTAAGGATGGGCTGCTCCCCCTATTGGATGACCCGCTACCAAACTAGAGTGGAGAAGCAAACACTATTCAGCAGAAGTTTCACATATAGGGTTGCTCATTCACTTATATGCACAAATGACATGCATATCTAGTTCTATTGAAAAACTGAAACAAGCAAAGTAACCAAAATTCATTATATCATTGTGAACATAAATTGGGCAGCCACATATCATGAAATGCTTCCTGAACAGATGAAAGCACCATCATGAACAGACAAGTAGACAATTAATTTTTTAATCATTTGTCTTACATTTCCCTTAAAAGTGGTCAAAGGCTAACTTTTGTTTCCTGGATCATGAAATTAACAAGCCTAAACAGGGAGAACCCGCTGAAACAGATCCTGAAGACTCTAGAAACGTTTGAATTCTGTGGAATTCATATTCCTGATTCTGTTCCTCAAATCTTCAAATAGCTTAGTAAATATACATCATTCACTAGCACAGGTAAATAGACAGCTAGATTTTTCAAGAGTAGCTTTGATTCATTGTGGGGAAATGGTAACCTACGAATCCAAAGCAACACGTATATGCAGGATAGATTTGACAAGAGTAGCTTCTAGCCCTTGTAGGTAGATGGTAACCTACAAGAGTCAAAACTCAAAGCAACATGAATAACGTATAACACTCCAATGACCCCATTTTTCTAAAATATTTACAAGAAACTTGTTCATTAGCCAGTAAGATATAACCAATTATAGATTATCCGGCGTCAGTCTCTAGCCACTCATCACAAACACGAGGATAGGCTTCTTTCAGCAAAAGACTTCTGTTCCCCATTACTGCAGCTAAATATAGGAGGAAAACCTATGACAGACGTAAGAAGTTCCAAAACTCCCAGGAAGTTGAGCTTAACAATCAAATGCCATATGACATAAGCTTCCTAAGCCTAGTATCCGGAATTGTGCATAAAGTAGTAAAGTACTACCATCTAATAACTTGCAGACTATGATTCAGAGCCCAGGAACTGCAAATTCCACAAACTAATTACCTAGAACCACAAAGCTCCAAGCAAATGACCAGCATTGTCAGCTGCTCCTCCCATTCATGACATTTATGTTGTTGTCATGCTGGTCGATATCGGATCGTCGAGGTGCACCAGGCTTGTTGCTGTTAGTGGGCTTGCCTTTGGAATGAAGCTTCGAATCTGGGTCGGGAGGGTTGAGGGCGAACTCCGAGAGGAAGATCCGGATGGAAAGGGAAGTAATGGGATCGATATGAATGTCCTTGGTGGCGACGCCATCGACGAAGGAAGGGTTGGAGGCGGTGACCGACTCGTTAGGCCGGGTCGTGACGTCATAGCTTTTGGAATCGGCATCGATCGGCTGTGAATCCGAGACTGCAACCGGTGCTTCAAGAGGAATACACTGTACAACTTCACCCACGCTCGTCATTTCTTCCCCCGGCTCTTCCAGCGACCCAAAACGGCGGAGAACGCAAACAAAAGACAGAAATGACGAAAACCCGTTTCTCCTCTCCTCCCTCTCTCTCCCCTTATATCTCCGTCAGGGCGCCTGATTGAGTTTAGGGTCGGACTATGGTGGGAGGATGGGGGAGGGAGAATTATGGATAACGCATATGGTAAGGATAGGAATCGTGGAAATTGGGTATTAGGGTTTTGTTCTCGGGATTTGGATGGATTGATGGGGGTGGAGGAAGAGGTAGTGGTGGTGGCGGTGGCGGTGATGGCTGAGGTGGAAAGATGGGGAGAAGGGTGATGAATGATGATGAAGGGACAGTTTAGTCGAGGAAGAAAAGGAGAAGAGAAAAAAATTATTGGATGGGCTTAAATTTACGCTCTGCTTTTGGGCCGCTTACTGGGATCTCTTAATTGATGAATTGGGGAATTGGGCTAAATGCTGGTTTCGAAAACACTCAATTAGGATTTAGGATACACAAACAATATTTGTACGGTTTAACATTCTTTGATTTGTTTTTAATTTTATACATAAACAATACAAGTATTGTTCGAGGGAGGTTTTTGATAGTCAAATCTCATATTTTATATAAGATTATTGTAGTTAAGGAAGATTTTTGGGTTCTTTTTCGTTGAATTTTTGGATTTTTTTTTGTTCGAACTATATTCGGACTTTTTATATGTGTTACTTTCCTTCTATTAAACCCTAATGTTATCTTTCAAAAAAAAAAAATATTCAACCCTAATGTTGAAAGTGATATTTCACTCAATAAGAATGATTTTAGTGAAAAGCCGGTTTTCAGTGAAGAGCAATTCTGACATACATTCGTGAATAAAGTATAAATATTTTGCTTATACTTATTAAAAAGTTTGTTGCACATTTTTTTTTATGTGGTGCTTAAAATTGTGTTGCGTCACTAGTATAGCTATGCAACATTTTTTTTTTTTTGCAAAATGTATTAATTATTACTTTATACAATGTCATGAATAAAGTATGAATATTTTGCTTATACTTATTAAAAAGTTTGTTGCATGAATTTTTTGATGTGGTGCTTAAAATTGTGTTGCGTAACTAGTATAGATATGCAACGCTTTTTTTTTTTCTTTTGCAGAAAGTGTTAGTTATTATTTTATACAATGTCATCTTTAGGCTCCATCTTTACACTTCTTGTAACACATGAAGCGTAAAGGCTTTTTTCGATAGTGCTTACAATGGCTCAACTAATATAACTAAAAATCTCTGAGATTGATTTTAGCTAGCTAGAAGCCATTCATGATCATGAGATTTGATATGGTAGCTATGAGAGATTGGTCAGCACCTGCTCGTTGCTCGACCAATGAAGCTTTCATGGTGGCTATCTCTTTGATGGAGCCATTTCCATGTCCATGTGACATGTGTAATTCTCGTCTTGACTTGTACATTTTTCCTCTTGCGCTTTGTCTTCCTAAAATTGGTGAAGCATTTCTTCGATGACAGCTCCAATTCAAATTAGTGTCGTTGGAGAATGTCTACGGTAGCTCGACGAGAGTCAGACTTGATTTGCACAAGTGTCATAACCACAAGGACTTTGTAAATTGGATTGAGATGATACCATGGAATATATATTAAAACAAAATGACACCTTTGTCATAACATGATAAGTGTAAGGGCTAATTAAATACCTGACAATGACCTGGTGGTGCATTCAGAATTCAAGCTAAGTAAAATCTCATTTAAGAAACTTATTTGACACCATTGATTATTGAATTGCATAACTTATTTTTCGTGTACCACATTTATAACCAACCAAAGAAATTTACACTTTCTTTTTGTATGTTTATAATACTAAAAATTGTCTTAGTTACTAACGAATCAATAAATTAAACCACATACGATCAAAGAATCACATGAAATTACGAATAGTCAAAAGGTAATGTGAAAACATAATTTGGAAAAGAGCAAATTCATAGTATTGACCACTTCACCGGCCTTTAAATCAGCCACTTCCCTCTCCTCATATTGTAACAAACAATCCAACAATTACATTACAGTTTCACCTTTTGTGTGCATAATTGTAGACCTAACCGATCTAGTTGATTATAACTCCATCATAGAATATACAAACTTTAAAACGAGGATGCAAACTCGTCTCACATTCAAAATGAAAAAGTTCATCGAAACCACAAAAAAAAGACAAAAAAGATCCCGAAAAGGAAAGTCGACAAAATTCGAATATGGGAGAGGATCAACGACCATGGACCAACGTATGTCCAGAGCTCTTGGATTCCATCTACAAGAGACTTCCATCCCACGTCGATGGTACACACTTCGGCAACGTTTGTAAGAACTGGCATCGAGTCCACTCCCGCATCGCACTTTCTAATCCACTACCGGTGTTCATCAAACGTGCGAAATTGACCAGCTCAGACGTCATCCAGGTGCAAGAGGGTGGGCGACTTTTGCTCCAACGGCGTCGTGAATCTCTAATCCCGCATTGGCTTTCGGGTGCAGAAATAACGATCATCGGGAGGGCGGGTGCGTGGTTTCTTATAAAAGTGAATGACATTTACTTGGGTTGTTACAATCCTCTACTTCGAACTCCTGCAGACTACATCAGACTTCCCCAGCCGAGTTGGCATTTTTCTAACTCTAATTGTCATCACACACCAGACACAAATATCAAAATTGCTTTTTCAGCACTACCCACTGCTCCCGGCTCGATGATCCTCCTGGTGTATGCAGACCTCTATTTCAGCGTGCTTCGTCGTGGGAAAAATGGATTTGAGCAAAAAACATACGATTTTTCTTTGCGTGGTAAAAAAGGACAAATTTGCCTCGGTGTGGGTTATAAAGATGGAAGATTCTTCTGCTTATTTGAAATGGGGGATATGTTGATCTTCAGCGCCGACAAGAACGAGATGAGGATGTTGTTGGCAGCGATTAAGCCTCTCCTTCCTGAGAAACTCTCTCGATGGAATGATTTGGGTGTTCTGGCGGTGGTTGAAAAAAAAGTCATGACTGCAGATGATCGATATCATGAGGAACAAGAAATGCTTGTGTTTATCACTTATTGGGAGCGAGATTATGAGGCAAGTGAGAAGGATAACTTCCGGCTGGTGGGAGTGGACGAACAAGTTATGACGACAATGCGTGATCTATTATTTGAGAATGATTATGAAAAGGCATTTCTGGAGGATTGGAGCAACAAGGGATTTATTTTAGTGAAAGAACCGTTGCCATTGAAGATGAATTTGGAAAGATGTTCCTTGAATATGGTACTATTTATTGTTTCTGAAGTAGTTCTCATTTTTGGTTTTATCTTAATCCTTGGATTCAAAAATTGATTGTTAAGTTATTCTCTTAATTTTATGGACATGATAAGGCATGTTAAACCTAACATTTAATAGTTGTGAAAGGATAGGAAATGTTATGATATTTTCTTCTTTTCTACTTGTGTTTGTTGCTAAAAGAACCAACTGGAGGACAATTTACTGCAAAGCGCAAGCTAGGTTTGCAGGCCAACCCTGCTACCCCTTCACTTGTCATTCATTGGCCCAAACTTCTTTCCTTTTTTCCATTTTTATAAGTTGGATAACATATGCATGCATGGTGTTGGATGAGAGATTCTCAACCCTAATAGTGTTAAATCTTGACAATTATAAATACAAAAACATCAACTTTGCTTAATTTGCACAAGTGTTATATAATGCACAAGGTCTTTAAGATACTCTGACCTATCACAACCTCTAGACGATACCAGAAAATTTGTGAAAACATGACAAGTAATTAAGTATAAAGACTAATTGTAAGCACAAGATCTACCAATTTATCATGCAGGCACATTATTCAAGCTAAGCGAGCGAGATCCGGTTTAGAGAAACGTCTAATAACATCGCATATTCACATTTATTTGTACATGCATCAAACTCATCGATTATTTGATCGCGTGGAACGTATTTGTCATGTACTTCACATATGGAAAAGTGATCTTCCCATAGCTAACCATAACATAGCAATTGAGTATTATTCACAAGCAAATAAATTATCAAATCAGGATTATAAGAACACATTTGATGTCCGAGTCAGTAACCAACCAAGTTATTGTCTACTATATAATAGAATGCAAGTTCAGGATGTTTGAATTCAGAGGGAGCTTTATATATGTAGACAGGCTGAGCATAGAAATGAAGAAAACCAAAGTGAATGAACTAAACGATATCCTGTGAAATCCTTCCCCAGGCATGATGATATGGATGGAACTTCGATTGGATTTCGTGTATCTCCTCGTCGGCCCCATCTATTCCCTACGAAGGAAGGATTAGGGACAGTCAATTCATCTTGGAGAAGCCGGAATCGAAAACGCCTAATTGTGCAATTGGTCACCGAATTTTGTAAAATTGCTGTCGGATTATGAAAATTTGAAATTTCCCGACGACGAGAAATTTGGCAAGGCTGAATTGCGACAAATTGAAGCTGGAAGCAGGCTGGGAGTTGCTGGAATTGATTCCTGGGATCCAGGAAAGTCGATTACGAGTGGTAGATTGGAACGAGCAAGCTTCAAGATGAAATTCCCAAATTTGGAACACTCACCGGAAAATTTGAGCCTGCTGGAAATTGGAGAAATGCAGCGACGTGTTCTGTGTTTGTTTGAGCGAATTTTTTGCGTGGGAAAGGTCCATTGGAGTCCCACGAACATCATAGCATTCGAATCGTGGAAAACAGCAACAAGATCACAAGTTGACGATGGAAAAAAAATCATTCCCATTGACAAAGAATGATCGATGAATCACTTATATACTACTATGGTATAATTATATGAACTCTTAAGCATAATCATCATGTTTTTTGTTCAAAATATATCAAAGAGGATGTCATTTTTAAGAACACAACTAATCTGATTTGTGTGTGAAAAAATGAATTACGACTTAAGATGAAAATGATATAGCCTACTAAAATTAATAGAGAAGGAGAAATAACCATGATTTATGCATCTCTATCTGGACCTCGGTTACCTAAATGGGTTTGTAGGTTATTAGTTGAATAAAATAACTAGGAAGACTGGTATGTATATTGTGATATTAATCCGTCGGTAATAGAACTAGGATTACAATCTATCTAAAAGCCAACAAATTGAAAGCGACCTCTACAAATCATTCAAGAAAAACAAGATGGCATTCTCGTTCGAGAAAATATTATCGTTACTTTGAACTTTCGCATCCAAATCCACAAAATAAAAATCTATCAAATATCAAATCTTGCAAAAAGTTTGGAGTTCTCTTTGAATCTGACGATTCATCCACGAGGGTTAGTAAAAATAAATGATATTATTGACCATTTCATAAGGCGTTAAAGCAATAGTTTCCTTCCATCCCGTCAAATTATAACCAACAATCTAACAATAATATTGCAGTTTCACTTTATGCGTGCATATTTGTAGACCTAAAAAAATATCATTGACTATAACTCCACCATGTAATATACACCCTTTTAAAATGAGGATGCAACGTCGAGTCACGTTCACAAAAAAAAAAAGTTCTAAAACGACAAAAAAGTTCAATAAGAATTGTAAACAAAAAGGATCCGGAAAATAAAGTTGATAGAGAATGAACATGGGGGATGATCAACAACCATGGGTTGCTATATGTTCAGAGCTATTGGATTCCATCTACGGGAGACTCCCATCCCACGTCGATGGTACTCATTTTGGCGGTGTATGCAAAAACTGGCACCAAGTCCACACTCAAGTTGCCCTTTCCAGCCCCGGCCTGTGTTGATCGGCCATGCAAAATTGTCCAGCTCGGACGTCATCCAAGTGCGGGAGGGTAAGCGGCTTGTCCTCCAGCGACGTCGTGAATCTCAAATCCCATATCAGCTTGCAGATGTAGACATAAGGATCCTTGGGATGGCTGGAGCGTGGTTGCTTATAATAGTGCGTGACGCTTTCTTAAGCTGTTACAATCCTCTACTCAGGAGTCCCGCAAACTACATCAGCCTTCCAAACCCAAGTTGGCGTTTTTCTAACTACGACAACCATTATAGACCAGGCACGGAACTCAAATTTGCTTTCTCATCACTACCCACTGCTCTCAACTCGACGATCCTCGTGGTGTTTGGAGACTGCTATTTCACCATGTTTCGTCGTGGAAGAAATGATGAATTTGAGCAAAAAACGTATGATTTCTCCTTGGGTGGGAAGAAAGGACAAACATGCATTGGCGTGGGCTATGAAGATGATAGATTCTTTTGTTTATTTGAAATGGGGGATATGTTGATTTTCGGTATCGACAAGAATGATACAAGAATGTTGTTGGTGGCAACTAAGTCTCCGCTTCCCGACCAACTCCCGCGATGGGACAGTCTGCTTGTTGTGGCGGTGGTGGTAACAAAAAAAATTACGGCTTCAAATGATCGATACCATGAGGCAGGAGATCAGGTGATAGGGTTTAGGATGGTCACTCATTGGCAGCGAGATCGTGAGGGGAGCTTCCAGCTAGTGACAATGAAGAAAAATGATCTGACGACAAACGATCTATTATTGAAGAATAACAATGGTAATGACAAAGAGGGAAATAGCATATCAACAAAAGTGATTTTAGTGAAAGATCGGTTGCCATTGAAGAGAACTTTCGACATATATTATAATACCATACTGCTTTTTCTTCCTTGCATACTTGTCTATTCTTTTCTTGCTTTGATAATTATAAGGTGTGGTTCTGACCGGTAAAATTCGAACCAATTTGTTTTCTAATTGTTGCATGCTTTGCTTGAATTGGTCCTTTGTTTCGCAAGTGGATTCTTCGAACATAGAGAAATATAATGAAGGGGTACATAATGCTTGTTATTATTACTAGCTTGGATCTGGCCAACTGTCCGGAAATTTTTAAGTTTTTTATTTTGTAAATTACCTAAAATATAGATTTTATTAGGGATACTTATTTTAATTTTTTTTTATCAAATAAAATTCGTCGTTATTTATCATCGCTCCTCATTTCTGTAACTAATTCATAGCCTACATGACTCACGCTCATGTGCATAACTCAACCTCATATTGTTTTTAATTATATTAGTCATAAAAAAATACCTCAAACTCTACTCCCTAAATAATGATAACAAAACAATATATCTAACATCCAAAAATCTATAAGCAGCAAAATGAAATATGATTCAAATGCAGTTATTTTCATGAAATCATTTGGAATGAGTATAGATCAATGAAGATTAAAATTGCTAACTTTTTTTCCCAGAAAAGAAATTTATCCAAAAATGAAAAGGATTTTATTTTAAAACATAAAGGAAAAGGAAGTGAAAAGAAAGATAAAAGGTGGTTGGTGAACCGATAATGTGTAATAATTGCTAGGTATTATTTTTTTATTAGGGCTAGTTGCTAAGTTAAAAGCTGAATAAGGGGGGGAAACGAATAGACAGAAAAGAAAGGGAAAAAGTAGTTACACGCTCTCGAGTCTCTATAATAAATATGGGTATGCCTACTATGACATGCATGTCACGGTGACATGCACTTTTCGGTCGACCTATTGCTGAAGGCGGTCGACCGAATCGACTAATTTGGGAAGCACGAGAAAGCATTGTGGTCGACCTCAACGACCACCTGGTTGACCGCACTTAGTTTAAGTTGTTATTTTTGGTCGACCAGAATAAAACCTGGGTCGGCCATTTCATTGGCGTCAGAAACAACATGGTCGACCACCTAAGGTATATAGGTCGACCACTTGATGGCAGTCATTAACAAAATGGTCGACCGGATGAGGAAAGAGGTCGACCAGATAGAAGATAAGTGTTCCATCAAAGTGTCCAATTATTTGACGTAAAATCAAGATCAAGTGTTGGTTTCGCGGTCGACCTAATCTAGTACGAGGTCGACCGAATACAAGAAAGTCACCCTATGCCCCGTGTCTTTTTTGCTTATGTATGTCGATTTGTGTGGTTCTTTTAATCGTATAAATTATGTTTCAAACCATCATAATTAGACATAAATAATTATAACAAGGACTCATCAATTCATAGCATAACAACTAAAAATAAAACAGAAATCATAATTGTTCACACTTAAAAATAAAACTAAAAAAACAACAGAATAACACTCAACAATCGTTTTAACCACTAAAACACACAATATAAAAACTCATTTCTCCTACTCATCTCCCCCCTCTCTCTCATCCACATTTTCTTCATTGGTGGTGCTAGCATGATGGTGGTCGGATGTGGTGGGATGCATGTATCTTCCGCTGAAAGATCGCCACTTATCTCGCATCTCATTCACGGTCACCTGCATTGTGCTCATCTGGGCGGTCATTTGCCTCATGTAGTCGTGCATGCCAGTCATCTGGGTGGACATCTGGCCCATGTACTCGTACATGCCATCCATGCGCTCCCACACACG